TCCCGCACCCCCCCCCTCAAAAAAAAAAAAAAAAAAAAGCTCATGAATGGCTGGAGGCCAGAGTAGCTGATCAGAGTGACGAATTTTTTAAAAATTATTTTTAGTGTGATCTATTATTATTATTATTCCTTAATTTGACCAGAAAGAGACAGAGAGAGAAGGAAAGTGAGAAAGCAAGCCATCAGGTCCTGGACTTGAACCGTAGTCAGCCAGGTAGGAGTCCAGTACCTCACCTACCATGCCACCTGCTGGCCTCCCAGTTTCTTTTTTTTTAAATTTGCTACAGAGCATGTGTGCTTGCTAGAGAGAAACTGAGAAAGAGAGAGGGAGAGGGAAAACGAGAAAGCACCTCCCAGGAAAGATGACCTTGCAATCCCTTCTTCACCCTCCTCTGGGGATTTTGGGTACACCCACACATGGGCCCAGTGTGTTTTTCAAGCCACAGGTGGGGAACTTGAACCACATAGTCAGTCCTTTGGGATCCAGATGTCTTAACCTGATTTTAATACAACTACAGCAGAAAGTGAAGAAATTAGTTTCTGCTAATTTCTAATTTGATTTTGTGGTGAAAAAAGCCTGTTCTTTCCTTTCTTCTTGGCTTGAGTATGTGGCACAGTTTTATCTCTTTCTAGTTAATAGACAGCTGGGGGAGGCGGGCACACTTCCGTGGCATGCACGTGGCGTCATTGAAGGCATATTGCTGCAGTTACTAGGAAACCCATGTCCCAGTCCTGACCCTGGGTAACTCCTGCTCCCAGTGTGCTCATTTCTGCCTGGAGAACTGAGCGGCAGCTGATGGCGAGCACCCAGGAAAGAGGGCGGAGGGTGGTAGCTGAGTCGGAAGGCAGTACAGAGTCTGGGAGGCAGGCTCGGGCAGCGGAGCGCAGTGAGGTTCCAGCAGGTGGCTGAGTGCCAGTCCTGGACAGTCAGGCTTTGAGACCTCGGGGCCCTGCCTGGCTCTGTCTTGCACGGAGACTCGTTCCCTGCAAGCTCCCTCCTGGCATGGACACCTGAGGAAAGTGGACCCGCCAGTGCTGGTGGCTTCGCTGCAGAAGGGGGAAGGCCCTGGGGGCTGCAGTCCTACTCCATCAGCCCGGCCCCGAGTAGGGGTAGGACAGAAGAGAGTGAAGAGCTGGTCCTTCCATTTGCTTTAATTTATTTCTAAAAGGTTATCTTTGGATATTTTGTTAACTTTTTGTTAAGTTTCTTAACAAAAAGTCTGAAATTGCTGAAAATAACACTTTCCCAGTGCTACTCCCTAAAGTAAATCATTTGTCATTGTGTATACTTTTTTTTTCCTTTTTGAAATTTTTACTGATGTATTTATTTATTTGAGAGATTTTTACTATAGGGTATATGGGCTTGCCAGAGACAGAGAGACAGAAAGTGTGAAATCACCCCCTAGGAGGGATGGCCATGCTACAATCCCCTCTTACATCCTCCTCTTGGGATTCTGTGGCATGCACATGTGCCTGGCATGCATTTCAAACCACTGGGTCCGGGACCATGTGGCAGTCCAGCACCTTAACCACCATGCCACCTGCTGGCCCTAACATATGAACATTTTATTTTGGACAATGTAGAGTATTAGGATTAAACTATCCGGGAGAAGGACCAGTCAGTGACATGGAGGTTAAGGTGGCTGTACACCACGCAGCCAGCTGTACAGTTCACCCTGGACTCAGCGACTTGAAAGATACACTGGGTGTGTGTGTGTCCAAACCCTGAGAGGAGAATGAAGGAGTGGGGATTGTGGTATGGCCACCACCCCTAAGGAGTGATTTTTCACTTTCCATCTCTCTCTGGTGAGCACATGAACCCAATAGCAAATGAACACACAAACATTCAGAGCGATCCTTTCCCACTCCTTGCAACCCATAAAGCACTAAGCCCTGGTCAGCAGAGGGCAGCTTCCTGCTTCTTGCCACTGCAGCATCCTTGCCACTGTTCTTTGTAGAGAGACAACAGTGGTAGTGCCCCCATACCCAGCTCCGCAGGGCTGTGGCAGGACCACCTTGACACCCCAGTAATGCTTTAACCCCTCTGCCCTTTCATAGGTAGGACGGTTTAATGTCAGCAGATGTGGTTTCATAGTATCTTAGCATGTTCTGCTGATGTGGTCAAGCCCTTCCCTTGGGATGTAGGAGAACCAGTACGTATTATGTACTCTCAGACTTTAAGGTCTCAGCTGAAGTGGAGACAGGAAGAATCCATCTTAATGTCCAATTACATATAACTACATCATTATTTACTTAACCAGCTTTTACTGGTGGATATTGGGTTCTTGTTGGCATGTATGTGTATGTGTGTGTGTGTGTGCACACATGTGTGTGCTTATGATCAAGTACTATTTATAAAACATGCCTTAGGCAAGCTTTTTTGCAAAAAAAATTCTTAATTACTAGAGGGTGAGTGCACCCATGAGAGAGAGAGAGAGAGAAGAGGAGAAAGCACCTCCCCCCCCACTACCATGGGTTAAGGTTATAACCACATAGTTATACATGTATATGGTTATACCACAATCCCTTTTCCTCTCTTTTTCCATACTGATTTTGGGCACCCATGCACATGTGCCTGGCATGTTTTTCAAGAAGCCAGGGCTGGGACTTGAACCATGGTCAGCCATGTGGGATCAGACTCCCGTAACCACTAAGCTACTGGGCTGGCCATTTAGGCAAGCTTATAATTTAGCTGCTGATTTTTGTAAACAATCATCACTTTGGCCTCTCTGCACAATTCGACCAGTCCTGGAATGAGTCTATGTGACCTGCTTATCTAACTAGGAGAAGCTTGCCCTTGGACATACCCACCATATGCCACAGGGTATGCGAGCATTACATTTATGAGAAGACTTCAAAAGTTCATGGAGAGGCCAGTGGGTGGCATGGTGGTTAAGGCACTCGATTCCTACATGGCCAACCATGGTTCAAGTCCCATACCCAGTGGCTTGAAAATCACGTTGGGCATGTGTGCTTGTGTGCCAAAAAATCCTGAAAAAATAATGGAGAAGGGATTGTGGCATGGCCATCCTCCTGGAAGATGATTTCTCACTTTATCTCTCTCCGTCTCTCTGGTGAGTGCACACTCCCTATGGCAAAAATCTAAAATAATAAATAAGATTAATAGAAAAATGAAATTGAAGTACAAGTTTATTTTGGTGCAAAATTCTTTTTAAAGTCCATGCACACTTTTTGTTTTTTTTTTGGTAATATACATTTTCCACAACTTTTCTAAAGATTTCTTACACTTAAAAGTTTGGGTGAGGGCAGCAAAGGACACAGTAATTAGTGTGAATTGACAATCCTTGGGATGGAAAAATATTTCTATAAACTATGCCTCAGATAAGGGAATACACAGAATACACAGGGAACTCAAGTGACTTACCTAAAAAAAAAAAAAAAAAAAAAAATTTAACCCCGTTAAAAGAGGAAAATGAGCTGATCAAAAATCTCTCGAAGGAAGACATGAACAGCCAAAGAGCTATGAGGAAATGCTCAACATCCCTCATCGTAAGGGAGATGCAGATTAAAATCACAATGAAATA